CTTTCAAGAACAATCCTAAGTAACATTTGGTTACCTTGGATGTCTAACTACTGTATTTAGTTTTTGCGAGTGATTTTTTTTTTTTTTTTTTTTTCCCCCCTTCCCCTGCACTCCTTCTCTAGTCCTTACTTTTTTACTTTGAAAGTAATGCAAAAGTTTGCACCCTCAGTTCTGTGCTGGTTACAGTGACTGACTGGTTTAGTCTGTGAAGTAAAATTCTCGCAACAAGCACCGTCTTCCTTTGACACGGGAGACGATAAAATGTTGCTCTGGCAGTTCCTCCCTGAAATGTCCCTCATTTTCTGGCATCTGGGCTAGAAAATCATTCATTTTTATAATCATAAATGTAATCACCTTGTAACTTCACTCTTTTATTTAAAAAAAAAAAGTTGGAATTTAAAGCAAGTGTCAAGCCACCTGGCTTATAAGATGTTTAATATAAATATGATGTGAATGTGAATCTTTGGGCTGCTGGCTGGCTAGAGATTTGAAATGATGAGTGCCCCTTGTAGGGTATAAGGGAAACTATTTCACACACTGGAGAGCAGAGGCACAGAAAATGTCTTGGTACTGTGCTCAGGTAGCTGAAAATCCTCAGGACTTTGGGTGATGCACTCAGCTGGACTGATCTTGCTTTGGATCAGCCTTGCTCAGTAATGTGTGTCCCTGTCCTTCACTCCTGCCTAATGTTGTGCTACTCCGGTTGTGGTTTTTGCTTGACACACAAGAGAAATATTTAAAGTAGCCTTTAAAAGCCAGGCTGCCTACATAAGCTGCTGGGAACAGTTCTTCTGACTTGTAGCAGGACAGTGTACTGAGCAGCATATTCAGGTTTATGTACTGGAAGCCACTAACTGATTGACCCTTGAGAACTCTGTCCTTTTGAGAGGGGCAAAGAACAAAGCTTTGCTTTGAGGCTGTATCGCATGCAGTGCATCACAAGGATAACAAATGTAGATGCAGAAAACTGGTAAAATGTGGAAGTCAGATATGAGAAAATGCTGTTCCCAAGTTTACACGTGACTACCTCAGTGTTTAAATAATCTGGCTTTTATTTTCTTATACAGACGTGTAAAGAACTTTCTGTATATTTTAGCAGGAGACCAATAACCTAATGGTATTTTTAAATATATATATATTTATATATATTACAGGAGTAGGAAATGCTGTAGCTATAAATGTGACATGGCTGCAGTCATCAGAAGTTCAGTACTTCTAATGACTGCATCAGAAGTACTGAAATTCAGTATGCTGCTTCAATCTGCTCTCCACTTCTAGTGGACAAAAATGAGCTTGCTTGCTCCTGTTGAACTGTACCTTGTAACTGCCCACATTTTAGAGAGAATCTGTTGACTCAGAGTGCCACCTGATGAGGCAATCTTTTTAAAATCCTATAACTTATCGGAAGGAAAAGCCATAATTAATTACTTTCTCTAGGAATGAAATTGAAGTGGAATGACTTTTTTTACAATGACAAGTAATCTTGGTACAAATTTATTTTGCACATATGTAATTTAACTAATAAATGATGATTTACAAATTTTATATTGTAGACCTTTTACTTCTGTCTTTGGTAATGCTTGTTTATTCTTCCTGGCTCTATTTAGGCATTTACCTGATAAAATGCACAGGATGGGGGTGAAGAGGGTCATGTGGAACCTTTGTTGTTTTGACTTAAACTTTTTGTTGGTCCTTAAACTCAGTTGTGGCCTGACTTCTGGTAGGGGGCGCATGCCTTCTTTCACTGTCCCACCCTACGCACATTTGATTTGTAATATAATCAAACAAATTCCAGAAAAGCATCAGATAAGTGTAACCTGCTTCCATGATTGAGGGACAGGGGGATGGGATTTGAAAGGTTTCTGCTCGTGTCCCAGTGCAAGGCTGTCAAGGTATATTAGATTGCCTTTATTCATTGATTTAGCCAAGTGGGACCCCCTGCTTAACTTGATGGCAGGTCTTTGGAAAGCTACATCCTGCTCACCTCCAAAGTGTCAGGGAATATTTTAGGCATCAAAAGGCAAACTCCTATTAATTTCAGGGGAAATAAGGTGGCGCACAGCTGCTGCTACTTGCTTGTAGCAGGCATTTAACCAGTTCTCTTGTCTGTACACAGATAGGACCTGGTTGATAACAGTAATTAGCACTTTCCCACCCCATTCCCAACCTCTTAGCTCTTGTCTTCCAAGCTGATACAGTTGACATTACTGCCATCCTGAATGACTCCTCTCTCATACTGATGAGATGAATGTTTGGGCGGTAATATGATCCCACAACAGTGACGTTACTAGTGTGTACAAGAGTTTGATCTACAGAAATTAAACTATAGGTATCTTATCTACTGAAATGTTGGGTGTTTTACATATGAAAGCTCCTGCCCTCACTGGTTTTCTAGTGATACTTGGAAACAAATTTAAATCAGAAATGCAAGTTTAAGTAACTTATACTCCAAAATTTACGCTCATCTGCTTATGATCCATTTTATATAAGCATTCCTTTAAGTTAATTATGCAAATTAAGTCTCAGGTAAGCAATTATTTATTTCAGCTATTGGTCTGTTTTGAAAAAAGGCCACTATAGACAGATAAGCAATTCCACAAGGATAAACTGCTGCAGATTCTTTCAAGAAGAATTAATGGTGTTGAGACCCCGGCATTTAAAATGCAACTGCTACAGAACAGAGTATTTTAGTAGGTGTTGATGAGCTTTTTTAAGACGATTAATCCGTTCACTCAGAAAATTCCTTTGGTCAGCTGCCTCTTTCCGCTCCTCAAGTAAGAAACCTAATTGTGCTTTCTCTTGTAAGAGCTGCATCATTGCATTCTGTAGGTTATCTCCGTAGTCCTGAAGGATGAAGGACTGGATGATCAGAGGAATTTGGCTGGAAAGACGATTACCTGCTCCCTGAAAGAAGATGGTTGAGAGATTTATAGTTTGCAAAGAGGAGAGGGAGGGAATCTATAGTTGGTAGGAAGCATCAAAACACACTCTACCAATTGTACATCAAGTTACTTTCCTTTGTGAATTAGTCTGGAAGAGACAGAGAAACCCCAGATCTAACTTTTAAATTCAATGAGACTTGCTGGTAAATCTTACATGGTTATGGATATTGGGCACCTCAAAGTTTAGCTGGCAGCTGAGTAGGTGTTTTGAGAATCTAAATTTTAGGCTTTTAGGTACCTTATGTGACCAGTAGGTGCTTAAGTCCTTTGCACTGTTTAGTCCTGGCATGAGGAACTCTACATGGTTTTGACAATGGTTTTGTGTGGGCAAAAGGAAGTGCATCAATTCTTAGCTCCCCTGAAGTGACTGACAGAATTCTGACAAAGCAATACTAGCTGTGTGAGCAACAGAAGACTTTTGCCAGGAACTGCTACAGAATTCTTGTAGCTAGGCCCATGCTTTCTGCTGGTTGCTGCAGTCCTTGAATAGCTAAAAGGTGCTTTCCAGCATGTACTGCACACCATGGAGGTGAGGTGCTCCTGACAGCTGTACTATGGTGTCTGCTGTCTGCCAGCAGAAGGCTTATAATCTAGAGGAGCCATTAGATGCCTAAGTCCCATTTTCAAAAGAGACAGCCACCTTGGAGATCAAGTCTCATTAAAAGTGAAAGGGTCTTTGTCTGAGTGACTTAACTGTTCAATACCCTGGGGTTCAAGCTTCCTTGGCAGTCAAAGATGTCTCTTACTGTTGAAAGCACAGCTTGCGTACCTTGATAAAGTTACTCTTAATACTCACAGTTTTGAGCCCTCTAGCAGGCATGTAACAGCTCTTCACCTACTGGCTGCTCTGTTGGTATTTAATTAAGTGCAGTTTAATTGCTGATAAAATAACCACTCATGCCATTGATTATAATGAGTCTATATTAATAAGGCAGGCTAGGGGACTTGGAATGCCATAGAAACTAGTCTTCTAGCAATCCATACACTCACATTGAAATATGCCTCCAGGTGATACGCCATTTCCTTGACAGAATTTTGGTTATGAAGTAGAGTGGTTCCAAAATTGAACTTGTTGAATTTGGACATCGTAGTTTTGCCTGTTGCCTGCTCAGCTGTTTCTTCTCTGGTAGATTTTAAATCTTCACTGTAAACGTTGTCCTGGCAGTAAACCATCTGCTCCATTTTAAACTGGGTTCGTATCATTGTTTCAGCAGCTTCTGCTTGTTTCTCTCTAATGTCTTCAATTCTGTTCTGTGAAGAAAGATTGGAAGAAGAAAGCTCTCAGAATTCACTAAGAGACAACTTTAGAGCCAGCCCTGTGTGAGCACGAACATTCAACATGATATCTGAGTCTTTGTCAATCATAGTGCTTAACCATTTTATATTGGGCACCAAGGCTACATCCAGATGAGCGCAGCCATGTGCTAGGTGGGGGAAACAAATGTCCATGCTCATCTTGCTGCGGCTACAAGGGTCAGAATTTGGCTCCTTCTCAGTGACTGTAAGAGGTCAGTGTCCTGTTGTCAGATCAAATGTGTAGACAGGGAGAGCCAAATGTCTGGTGTTTGAATTTCCAGAGGGCTAGGCACTCCAGGAGAGTAGGATGTGCAAAAGAACAGGGGCCACTGAAGGCAACATGCAGCAAGTTGTCTTGCAACAGCAGTTCTCAACATTTTAGACTCAAGGCACCCCTTGAAAAATGTTGTAGTTTTCACTTGTTTGTTTTCTACTACAGAAAATAATAGAGTAAATCTTCTGTTGCAAAGAACTCAAAGACCACAAGAGGACAGAATAGTTTTAACACTATGGCTTCTTATTTGGAACCTCTGGGTTTATCTTTTGAATCCTATTTGCACACCTAACAGTGCTAACATTGTGTTGCATCTCAAGGCACGTCCGGTGGGTTGGGGGGGGTACCATGATACCCTCATTTCAAACTATTGTTTTGCAACATGTAGTGACTTCTAATGCTGTTTACAGCCTGCACACTGGGAGCATTTTGACTATGTTTCTCCTCCATAGATGAATATGCCTGTACAGAATTTTTTTTCTTTTGTGCTGTCTCCAAAATCTGTTCTTCCCTCTAGTTCCAGCCAGCCAGCCTTTATGCAAGCTCTGATCATTTAGTGACCTAGCCATAACAATTTCCCTTTTCTGGCCTTCCTGGTACCTCACCTCACCCTTCTAACTGACCCAAAACTCATTTTTTCTATTGAGATGCAATGTAATACAATCATCCTTTTTCACAATCCAATTCTGATTTGTTCTCACTTTCAAGGCTTTCCACAACTAACTTTTGTTTCATCTTCTCCCCCCTTATTGGTTACTGTCCTTCCCAATCATCTCTCTAAACATTTTCACTCAACCAAAGCCACTCACTTAACTGTGGCCTAAATGACACTGCAGTAAGATTTGAGGATGCTCCTCACTTCTGAAAATTAAGCTGTAAGAGTCTATCTTTTATATTTGTCTCTGGGCCTTTTTCTCAATCAGTTCTATGAAAAAAATCCCCTTCCTAATTGAGAGATGGTGTGAAAGCACTGGTGTCATACACATTTAATAAATACAGTGCAGCCCGTTCAAGTAGGAAATGGTGTTTAACAGCAAATGAAATGTTACAGAAAACTATTGCACACATTCATTACTCTTATATGTAAGCATTGCCAGCTATTTTTAGTTTGTAACTTCACTGTTTAGTGTCTTCACAAAAATAATGTCCGTAGTTGTACAAGGAAGAAAAGCAAGTAGGGGTGAAGAAGTAAATACAGTCCTATATACTATTTATTATGCCACTCAGTATTGCTTTTGCCTTTTATAAAGTTACGTATGGCGTCTCACCTTGGCAGCTCTGTTAAGATTGTAAAAATCATCAAAATGAGCTTTGGCAACAACCGTAAAATGCTGTCGGACGATTTCTGGGAAGAAAAAGGAGAAATGAGCAGCAATGTAAATGTGATTCGTAGCTGTTGATAGCAAAAGGTTCATGAAAACTAGTCATTCTCCATATTTATCCAAAAGGATGCTGCCAGGCAGCTATGCATATGTAGTATGCTTTTAATTTCACCAGGCTGTGTCATTGCTTTCATTTTCTCATGATGGTTATTAGTTTCTACCTTTTTAAGAAATCATTTCAGTTTTGGAGGTAGCATTGTTAAAGTTTGAAGGTCACGCACAGATATCTGAGGTCTCAGCAAAGGGAAATTCGTTTGTTACGTATTAATTTTCACTCCCTAAAGTATCCAGTGTACAATTCTTGCTACAGTCAGAACATAGGACAAATTTAGTAAAAGAAGCTCACCAATCACTGTCTTCAATACATCAACAGCTGGTTCTTCTAGTTCCTTGATTTGCTGTTTGACAATGTCCTCAAATGTCTTGTAATTGACAAAACCAGGAAGCTCTCTTCCACGGTACTGACTTTCAAATCTCCATACTTCATGATGTATAATTTTTTGAACTAAAACATTAAAAGTAATTCTATTTTTAGTACACCAAATCAACTAATTTTATAAAGAAAGCTACAAATTTGGGAAAGAAACTTAGTTATTTGTTCTGAAGATGCCCTTGATTAGAGAAACCTATTATACAATTGGTCATTCATGCATGTTCATTCCTGTGATCCTGAGCCCAAACTATGCTATTTCTACTTATATGGATGAGCCATTTCACCCACAGAAAAGGACACAGTGGAAACAGGAACAATTAGAATACTCATCTGTTATATCTCAATAGCCTTTCAAAAGTGCCCCATTAGGTGATGCTACAGGTAAAAATGAAAGCTTTTTGTGATTAGTTTTCTTGGTAAATTCTACCAGCACTATTTGTAAAACTTTAAGTGTAGAGAAACTTACCTTGCTAACTAATAGGCATGAGAGACTATACTTGGTGTGACTTATAGATTCATAGGGCACTTCTATATGTTGCCCTGTGGTGACACTGTTACTGCACTGTGCTTTAGTACTTTCTTTTGGAAGTACTGGAAGCCAGTGGAGCAGGGGAGGGGGTGGCAAGCACTCGGCAGCAGCAGAGCCAGCGGCACATGGTGGCTGCAGCAGGGCCTGTATGGCACTGTTTGTGGGGCCTCCCAAAGCACGGGGCCCAGGATGGTCGCCCTAATTCACCCCCTCCTAGGGATGGCCCTGCATCTGGTACACCCCCTGCTCAAAGAAGGACCATCCCCAACTAGATCCTTCCAGCCCAGGCTTTGCTGAGCTGGGCCTTTAAAAATCTCCAAGATGGAGATGCCACCACCGCTCTAGGTAACCCATTCCAGTGCTTCACCACTCTCCTAGTGAGAGAGGTTTTCCTAATATCTAAACTAAACTTCCCTTGCTGCAACTTGAGACCATTGCTCCTTGTTCTGTCATCTGCCACCACCAAGAAGAGTCTAGCTCCATCCTCTTTGGAACCCCCTTCAGGTAGTTAAAGGCTACTATCCCCTCACACTCTGCCCTTCTGCAGACTAAATGAGCCTGGTTCTCTCAAAAGTTGCATGCCCCAGCCCTCTAACCATTTTTGTTGTCCTTTGCTGAACTTTACCCAACTTGTCCACATCCTTTCTATAGTGGGGGCCCAAAATTGGACACAGCACTCCAGATGTGGCCTCACCAGTGCAGAATAGAGGGGCATAATTACATCTCTCAATTTGATGGCAATGCTCCTATTAACGCAGCCCAGTTTGCCGTTAGCTTTCTTGTCAACATGGGCACACTCGACTCATATCCAGCTTATTACCCACTGTAACCCCCAGGTCCTTTTCTGCAGAGCTGCTGCTTAGCCAGTGATCCACAGCCTGTAGCAGTGCATGGGATTGTTTTGTTCTAAGTGCAGGTTTACACTTGTCTTTTTGAACCTCATGAGACGTCCATGGCCCAATCCTCCAATTTATTTAGGTCACTCTGAAACCCAGCCCTACCCTCCAGCATGGGCATGTCTACATGTGGACACTATGTTGCCATACCAACATGCTATGGTGACATAGCATCCACGGGCAAAAACTGTGATGCCACAGGTATGTTGCTGTAGTGACATGCTCCCTCAGTACAGCATGTCACTACAGGGATGTAGCAGCTAAAACTAGCTGTGCGGTGTGCACAGCACTGTACAGGCTGTTATTGCACCATCACTTAGTATTTCCAAAAGGAAGTACTAAATGACAGACAAAAAGCAATGGTGCCATAGGGGCATGTGTAGCTGCACCCTTTATCTACTGCTCCCCCCAGTTTGGTGCCATCTGCGAACTTGTTCATCCCATCTTCCACATCGTTAATGAAGATATTGAACAAAACCAGCTCCAGGACCAACTACTCTACTGTACTAATTGTAAACTGACGTGAGTTACACCAGTTAAGAAGACAGACATGCAAGCTATCCTGGGGTAGCTTGCAAAGTAAGCAGCTATTATAGTAGTTTGGCCATGCAAGCTTACTGGAACAGCCAATTAAGTAAGTAATAGCCCATTTGTTTTTTAGGAAAAGACTAGACCAGAAAGGGAATTTCCACCCCAATTCTTTCATGGGTAGTTCTCCACCAGACGAGCAGAAGTTAGCCCACTTAAGGATTTGCATTATCTGTCTTCTATCTTATGAGACATTATTATATTTGTTTGCTATTTCTATTATTTACATCCAGCTCTTTCAGGATGCAGTGCAGCTATAACTATGAGATGAACTCACACTGCAGTGACTTAAATTTTATAAACAGTGGCTGCATCTACATGAGATAATTACTGCACAGTAGCTTATTAGTACTGCTCAGCAGCATCCTATGGCACAAACCATGATGCTGCAAGGTTACTGCACAGCACCACCAGGAAGCTGTATTAGGATGCTACTGCACAGTCATTTTGTACTTAGTTATGTGAGTACTAAATGGCTGCACAGTAACAACTGTGCAGTCAGCATCTTGTATAGATGCAGCCACTGATATCTGTCTCAGACAAGGTGCTTTTTATTCATAAATCTCCAACCACAAAACCAAAGAAGTTGTAAGTGTAGTTGTTACAAACAATTATGCACATCACATGTGCATGGACCTTCACTGACTGGGAATGGGAACAGGGCTAAACAACAATGCAAAGAAACTACAGTTTTTTACTTCTAGCCTTCCATTTCCTTCTGTTTTGTGTGTGGGTGTGCAATATTTCTTCCTGTTCCATGTTTCCAATTATCATACTCCCCAACTGAATTCAAAGTAGTTGGTTCTGGGTATCTGATGGAAAAAAGTCAACGGGATATGCCCATTTCTAACTTTACTTATTCCCCTTCCCATGGGAATGCATCTGGTCTAAACTGTGTAGATTTGATTTCAGTCTGCAGTTAGGCTGAGTTCTCTGTAAGAATGGATATTCATTTAGTGAGTTTTATAACTCATAAATTGGTATTCCCAAATTTGAAACCATGGGAAAACCTTCTTTAGCATAACTATTCAGACAAGGAGTATGGTCTTGGATGGTGTACATTTCCAGTGGGTTTCCACCAGCTCCACTGCAGTCTTTGTGACAGTTTGCACTACCTGGAAGTCTTCCCCCAGGCAAGTTATACTTCACAGCATAGTAAACACATTACTTAACTTCAATAAATGTTAATCTCTATTAACATGTCAGTTCAAATAAGTGCAACTGACCATTTCAGAGCATCTTCATTGGCCATTCTTCTTTACTTACTCTTCACTGAACTCTCATCAAGTGCTTTCCCCCATTTTTGAAACTCCTTGCGGACTTTTGTAAACAGTCTGCTTTCATTTCCAGACACCTTTTCTTCTCCGTGCACTGAATTCACAATGTCTTGATTGAAGAATTTGATTTTCTATAATGAAAGAAAACCTTGAAAAATTATTACACTTTCATAACAGGTCCAATTTATGTAAGTATGTATTACTTTTGAAGCTAATTTAATTTGAAGCATGGTCAATCTCTGAAAAGTTCAGAATTATTTTCTTTTTGTGGCTTTTAAGTCTTGCTATTTCTGCAAAGCCAGAACAGGGAAGAAAGAATGAATTTGATTCTATTCTTTTTATGGGCCAGAATAACTTACTAAATTCTACTCAGCTAAATACATGCAAAGCCAATGAACATAGGTGTAGCTGGCATTTAAGATTATTAAATACAAAAGTTCAGCTTTAAGAGGATAGCTGGAGTAGGGACTAGATGATACCTCATCTCTGGCATAGTCCTTGGTGCACCGTGCTGGGTGAGATGTGAGCTCAAATCCAGGGGACAGCAGACTAGAACCTGGGTCTCTTATTTCCAAGCCAAGTGCTCTCCATTTTGCCTAACTACAATTTTGGAATTTATGCTCAAATAAATACGTCTAGAACTGGGTAGCTGCCCAGCCAGAGCATAGCCTTCTGAGCATGCTCAACAGCAACATGTCTGCTTGAACATCCCCCCCGCACCGCAGGCTCACAAACGATACATGTCAAAAACATCTCTTACCCAGCTGGGTAAATGCCATTTGGGGATATAGTGAAATAGGATTCTGCCCCCAGTGTCCTGATTTTTATGGAAGTGGGCAGAGAATGCATTTTAAAGGTATTTAGGCACCTATCTTTGAATCATTAAAAAAGCCACTTCCTTTGACTCCAGTGGAAGTTAAAGGTCTAAATGCATTAAAAATTATATAGTCCTGAGGGCCTAGCAATTTTGAAAGCCGGCCTACTTTATTTGGATGTCCAAGTGTGGCTTGCCACATGCATTTGAATTTTGAAAATCTATGGTCATTAATTTTTAAAGCATATACTGCTTGTGACAACCCTTGAGTCTGAAGTGGCCTAGTTTTCTTCATAAACAGCAAGAAGAATAGCAGTCAGGTCAATATATTAATACATCAATATATTAATTAAAGTTTTATTTAAGCATATTCATATCCTCTTCCCCCTTACGTGCTTTACTGTGAAACTTAGGTAACCCAAAACTTTGGTTCTCTCAGGAACTCACTATTAGCCATTCATCACAGGAGGACACACAATATAGACCAGAAAGAACTAGACAGAAGGCACTGGCTCAAGGTGGACACCATGAGCAAAATGCACAAATGCTTAATTCATAAAAATGAGCATAAGACTATAAGAAATGCCATCCTGGGTCAGACCACAAGCCCATATCCAGGCAAGTATCTTTATCGCTCAGTGGCAGAGAGTAAATGCTTGTGCACATCCCACATCCTGGGATGCTTTTAATCTTACAAGTGTTGTAAGCAGTGAAAACCTGCCAAAGCTTTAATATCAGAAATTATTTTGTTCTCCTTTAAAGTTCATGATTTTGACAAGATAAGATTTCTTAATTCAGTTCTCTTTGTTCCATTTTAAAATCAAGTGATGTTTATACTCACATCTATAAGGAAAAACAGTTTCTCGCCATCTGTTCTGGGTGTGCCTTTGCCGTATTTGCGTAACTCTTGAGATGCTTTTTGGAGTTCTTCACTTATTTGATCCTCTAATCTGGGGATAGTTTTCTTGAGGGAGGAAGAAAAAACAAAACCCACATGAACAGATTGGACAAGTTCAATTTTTGAAAGAAATAAAAAAATTTTGGGTATCACAGAGGGTTGTTCTTTAAATTCAAGAATGCTCTGTACCCTGTATCTTTTCTTTTAAGTACAGAAAGAGCCGAGCTCAAAAAGGGGAAGGTTTAAATCTGCTTGTCAGTGATTCTTTCCTCAATCTTAAATTTAAAAAAAAATTACCCTGCAAGGTCGCTACAATATCTGTTTTTGAGAACCAGTGCACCTTAGCTGCCAGTTCCTTATTTTTGACACAAATTTTAGAAATGTAATGAGTAACCCCAAATTTTAAAAAAAGGTTCTTTTTTACTTAAGAAACAAGGCTCTCACGAGTCAGCAATGATAATGATATTTGCTATCTTCTATAGCACTTTTCATCCATGCATCTTAAGTGCTCTTTACAAAGAAATTCAAATCCCTCATTTTAAAGTTTGTACAAAACTAGAGCTGGCAGGGACATCATAGGAAAGTTGAATCTCAGGGAGATGCAGGCCATGTCTACACCAACGTAGTGGCATGCACCAGCTGGCCCTTTCTGAGCATGCTGTCACATGCACAATCCAGATTTGCAAGTCTACCAGTGAAGACACTATCCCTACAGCTGTTCTCACAACCTGAGACTGGTGTGCTTGAGAATGGCCACTGGAGACGACCCCAGAGCAGCCAGACAGCCCTAGTGTAGCCCAGGGCTGTCCACCTAGCAGCCTATTAGGGGTTAATGTACAGTCCTTAGGCTGTCACCCAGCCATTGTTCCCACTTTAAACTCCAGGTGCTGTTGCAGCTGACTTCTATAGCCTCCCCTTCTCTCCTCTGACTTTTTTGCTTCCTGCTCTCACCCCAGAGACAGAAAGGCACAACCAATGGTACTGGGAGAGCTCACAGCACAGTGCAGCTAGGAATCTGCAGCTGGGGAGCTGAGGTGGGGATACTGGTCTCCAAAACTGCAGGATCAAGTCCTGTTTTTAGGTTCTTTACATCAGTAACAGCTCAGGCAAAGCTTCTCTGTTAGCTTACATAAATGTGAAGCACAAGTTCTGCTGTAAGTTTTTCTGCCAAAAGAGGAATCGTGGCCTTTCTTTCATCCAAAAGGACACTGAAAGAGAATTAAAAAAAATGAAAATAGAAAGCTTTCATTTGCAGAGAATGGAACAATGTTGGGGGTTGTTTGTTTTTTGGGATTTTTTTGCCATTCTTTTTTGTATTTCTCTCAAACACAAGACAGGTAACAGCAGACTCTCTTGATCAAGCTGGGGAATACTACAAAAATGTAGCAGTAGCCTTATGATTTCCTTACAAAACTGCTTTTGCACAAAATTATTTTTGGAACTCTGAGCTATTTGCTGAACAAGGAAGACACATAAAAGAATGTTAGCATCCATCCATCCCTGCCTGAAATATGCACAGGGACGCACTGAGAACATCAGGCATTTATACACGTGCTCCAGGAGCGTGCGGGGGAGGGTAGTGGAGGCTTTAGAGTGGGTTCGAGAGCCTCTCTAATGAAAGTGCCTGGACCATCACATGTATCAGCATCCCTACGCTGAAAGAGGCTGGCAGGGGTGCTTTAACTAAAGCTCGTTTGACAAGCTTTAAAGATTCTCTGCCACCATTTTTCAGCATGGGGGCACTGATGCACATGACACTGGAGTCTGCTGGAGTGTGGTAATTGCCACCCTTCAGCAGACTCGATTAATTGCGTCTGTTCCAACATACTGTAATGACAACACATCAGAGGAGCCTTGCTGCACGTGTATAGGCGCCCACTGGGATTCCTAACCAAAACATTTTGCACAGCTCATGCATTTCATCCTCACTCTCAACAATTCTACCTTCAATAACTGAAGCATCCTCAAACTATGGTGGTGAGAAATTCACCACCAAATCTTTATTATACCTACAATACAAAGATGACATCATCACCTGGACTGAATACCTGAAGTCACTTACTGATGCTATACAACTTCAACAATTAACATCCTGCCTTTCGAATTCTCTCTAGAATATTTTCACACTAACATCAGTTCAACGACACTACCATACCATTATCCACATCCAGACTGGCACCCTAACAAACAACTATATACAAAAAAACCACCCCTTATGAATTGTCACACTTCCACAAGGTCAGCAATCATCCCAAACACACCAAGAAAGCTGTCATTTATTGCCAGGCCCTCAGATATTACTCCATTTACTCTGAAAATACTTTCAACATGCACCTCACCAACTAAGAGAATCATTCACCCAACAAAAACAATCCACGAGTGAAACAAAACACATCTTTCAACAAACCCCCTCAGTACCATGCACAAAACTAATATGATAGAGAAAGAAAACCCCCACTGATGGTCATACCTGGCTGTCAGATACCATTCCACGTTGAAACCTATAAAGAACAGAACTAAGAAATTATAATCTATTGATGAAGAAAATGATACCTTGAGGGAAATATTCTCAACTTCTCCCCCTGACTTTCAAATCAGTCCCTAACTTCACCAAATTCCCCATGAGAAGCAAGCTCTCTGCTTATCAGCAACCAGCAAGCAGAGCAAGACCCTGCCTAAACAACAAATGCATGACCTGCCAAGTTAAAGGCGTGTAGGTTGTAGCTATGTTGGTCTAAGGACACAGGCAGACAAAGTTCCTTGGGTGAATCTGATTATCTTTTATTAGACCAACCCAAATAGTTGGAAATAATTATTAAGCAAGCTTTCGGGTTCAAAAACCCTTTGCCAGGCTAAGAAAGTTTCAGCAGTTGGTGTGTGCTCTTCCTGGATGGAAGTGTGCCCATCCAGGAAGAGCGCACACCAACTGCTGAAACCTCCTCAGCCTGACAAAGGGTTTTTGAACCCGAAAGCTTGCTTAATAATTATTTTCCAACTATTTGGGTTGGTCTAATTTTTAGAGCCCCGAGGTGCTGTGATGGGAAATGAAAGTAAACACTGTACTTTCGTTTGGTGGGGGTGATGTGATACTACTTCCTGTGAGGTCTTTGAATATGGCTCGCCGGCCCACTGGGTGATAAAAAGTTCATGATCCGGCCCCACATTCAAAAAGGTTGGACACCCTTGGTCTAAGCTGTGTAGATTGAACCAATAAGTAAGTGAACAGACATTCACTTCTGATTCCAGAAATGCAGCCCATGGCTGCAGTGGCCCAGGCCAGAAGCCAGGGAGATGGTGGTGGGGGCACTAGAGCATGACTCCCAGCTGGGCTGGAGCAGACAGCTTGGGCCAAGGCTACCCCACCCATCCTACAAGCAGGGTTTGCAGGAGAGGTGCAAGGCATCCTGGGATGCAGGGGGACTATGAGTTAACTTGAATCTGGAGGGGATCGGGGAGAGAAGTTCAATAAACTGATTTAATTAAGTCTGATACATCCATCCAGGTTTATCTTAAACTGATTCTGGCCACTTTGAAAGTGGTTTATGTGCACTGAACTTCTGTTGTGTTACATAGTTGAACCAGTTTCCAAACACTTACACTGGTTTATGCGTAATTTCTGTCCCTAGCCTTGATGTATCAATTGCCATACAGTTGTCTTACATGGAGCACACTATTCTCTGGGCATCACTCATAATTCGCCTACAAGTTTTGTCATACTTTTCAGTGAATAGGCATGAGTTTTTCATTCAGCACAAGGCTTTAAAGCATCTAACCTAACCTCATTAGAACTACTTAGGTGCTTAAATTTCAGCACTTTCCTTTCTGGTTTAGGGCTTGAATCAAACTTGCATCTCAGAAGTTCTATTTATAAGCAATTATTTGATGTTTAAAGTCTTCTTTGCACATTCAGAAATACTACACAAAAAACAAAAAAACAAAAACAAAACAAAAAAGTAAGTATAATCTTTAGTACAGGTGTAATCTAAGCCCACTGAAGTCAGCAGAAGTCTTTCCAGTAACATAATGAACTTTGCTTGAAAGCTACCCAAAATGTAATGAGCCTTTGCTTGAAAGTTACCTAAAATATTCGTGATCCTGAAAGAATTCTCTCTCTTTTTGGATTGCACAGTCTAGGCTCAGGTTGTTCAGAATGTCTTGTTGTCCACGGCATTTAACCACCATATAACCCTTTTTCAGACGGATGGTGAGATTCCGTACTATATCGACAACAGCCTCCTCAGTCCCTTTGTCCACCAAATCAGGCTTTGTCAAGATCCCTGTGAAGTAATACAATGAGAAGATTGTATGAGTACAAAAATTAAAGAGGAGGACTATCTATTGGGATATTTAATTTTCCAATGCAGGAAAATTCCTTAGCACAAAATTCTAAACTAACTTCTCCATTCTTTTCATGTGTCTGTTTTCATTTTCTAAAATGTTTCCTAATAATGACACTGTAGATTTCTTTTTAGAGTATAAAATGTGAAAAGCAATCAACACCTCCGATTCCTCCCAGACTTGCACACCTTATGGATATTTTAGTAATAGCGAGGCTTTCCCACTATTAACTTTTGAACTTTTCAGTTTTCTAGAAGTTTGCAAGCATTGTTAATGCCAGTGGGTGCATCTACATGGGCTTTTAGCATGTAGCAATAAACTACAGTGCCATTCATGCTGGAGTCAGCTGCTCCTGGGCGCAGTATCTTCGTGTGTGCCCAGAACCACAGCAATTTGAGCTGGGGCAGTCCCAGGAACACATGGCTAGGGACAGACGTTACACATAAACCAGTTTAAGTGATCAGAAACTGATTTAAATCTGTAGCAGAACAGATGTTCAGTGCACATAAACCAGTTGAAAAATGGCTGAAACCAGTTTGAGATAAACCTGGTTGAATGTAGTATCAGACTTAACTGATTTGGCTCAAACCTGTTTATGCGATGTCTGTCCCAGACCCCTTGCTGGTTTAAGATAAACCAAACACCCCCAGCATCCTGGCATGCTCTCTGGACTGGGGGTGGGTCTCTGCTTCACAGCAGGGCTGGACTTTTCCTTCTGCTTCCTGGGCAGAGCTCCTTTGGCAGAGACTTGCAGACACAGCAGGGTCTGTTGGCTTCCCCATGCACCACCCCCCACCACTTAGCTGCTTAAGCAGGGATCGCTTCCTCCCCTCTTCCACAGCATGGCCCATAGCCAGCATATGGTACGCTAGCTAGTGCTGTATAAGATTCCAACAGGAGACTGCAGACAGAGCAGGGTCTGCTGGCTTCCCCCTGCTCTGCCCCCCTTACTGCTCAAGCAGGAATCCCCCCCTTCCCATCTCCCACAGCACGGACCCCAGGTCTACAGATCCTAGGCATGTGGTGTGCTAGATAATGCCAAGAGGTGTCTGTGTGCATCTCTTTTCAATTTCATTGGGACAGGCAGTCAGACAGAACAGGGCTTTTGGAACTTATCAACAGATCACCCCAGTAAGCTGTTTAAGAAAAGTCTGAAGTAATGTGGAGACAGCCTATTATTTTGCTAAGCAGGTGATAAAGACTCTTCAGCTCCAGGCTACCTTGCTCTCCTGTCAGTTTGCTGCAGACAGTCTGACAAGCAGGGAGGGAGATTGAAAAGCTCCATATCATCAACAGATGCATGGGCTTTTAGCATGTAGCAATAAACTACAGTGCCATTCATGCTGGAGTCAGCTGCTCCTGGACACAGTATCTTCATGTGTGCCCAGAACCACACACACGCTTGCCTCAGAGTGCTAGCAAGGGTCTGGGAGCTGACAATTCTCCCACCCCTTGAGCAGCCAGTGGGGAAAAGCCTGGGATGTTGCAGGCAGACCTCCCTAATGAGAAAGTCCTGCTGGGGCCTGGCCATACCCCACTCAGCTCAACTTTGAGCAAGGGAAGGGAGGGCTGCTCTAGTGCTCCCCGGCTTCTAGCCTGAGCCACTGCAGGCATGTGCTTGAATTTCCTCAGTCTAGAGAGAATGTCTGTCCAGTTTCCAATTGGTTCAGGCTAGCCACATTAGACTAACCTGCAAGGGTTAAATCAATTCAGGCTCAGGCTTTTTGAATGTCTGACCTTAACCATGAAGATGCTACACCCAGGAGCAGCTGATCCAGAACAGGGAGCCTGGGGGGTCGGCCCTGGGCTCCAGGTGGTAATGTTCGGCAGTCTCTTGGCTGAGGCACAAGAGTGCTATAGTGTAGGGCTAGTTGGCAGGCAGCCCCCGCGCTGTAGCACCCTCATGCCCCAGCCAACCCTGGTACAGTCTATACATGCATTTGAGCACACGTAAGTACTCTGTCACTGACTAGTACTTATCCCAGGCAGTGCTATCCTACAGCAGAGTTAATTAATTTACTGCACCCTAATATGGCATGTATAGACCGTGACCTTTTTTTGCACAGCTAATTAGTCAAGCCTGCAGTAAAGTGCATATATAGATGTGCCCAGTAGGGCCCAAGATTGAACTATTCTTATTAGTATCCTTCTATCTCTTTGTATGCTGTTTTATATAGCTTATATATTTTTATAACCTATTGTGGGCTTGGACCATGGTGGGAAAAACAATAGAGCTCTATGAAATATAACTTCTTTTCCCAGGTGCATTTTTAAACATACATCTTACCTACAGTTCTCTCTCCAAGAGGGTCCACCTCTTGAGCCATTTTCAGTGCCTCGGTTGTTGCAATATCCACATTACTGGGTACCACCACCAGGTTTATTGTCTCTTGTTTAGTAATGATTTTTTGAATTAGCTTTTTAATCTGCAGTTTAGTGTGGAAAGAAAAAGATGTATTAAGGCTTATGTTATCAAATAGCATGGACCAGTTTCCAGTTAAAGTGAGGTACCTCGACATTATGAAATATTTCATGAAAGTGGCTATAGACATTTCTGCAGATGAATTCAGTCTCTTACCCAAAGATAAAATTTAAATGTTCAAGGTATATGACTGCAGGCATTTTTTCTTTCATTGTTTCAGTGGAGACAGGAGACAAACCTCTTTTACAACCTGGCTAGATTTAAAAGGATCTGCTCTGTGAGACTGTCTGAAAATAGACTAGATCACATACACAATATAGTTGAACAGGGGTAGGAAACCTTTTCCAGTTGTGGGCTAGAATGACCCTCCCTAGATTAAAGGCAGGCAGGAGGCAGGCATTAGGATCCTGCTGTGTCTACCGAATGTCTCCCTGGCTGCTCAGGGAAAGCACCTGCAGCAGATAGGTCTCTTCTGATCTACACAGGGAGAGCTTCCGCAGCTGACATTCATACTCATGGTGGCATAAGGAGAGCACCTACACAAGGTACCCCCTGCTGCTGAAGCTCCATGACTGTGGGCCAGATCCTGGCTGTGGGCCATAGGTTGCCAGCTCCAATATTTGATGATGACAATATTAGTGGCATTTCATTACATCAGTGGCCATGGTGTGGGAAACCCAGATTCTGTTGTCAAAGTGCATGTTAGAATAAAAAAAATGAAGTCAGAATATACTGACACACCAGCAGCAAATTAAATGTAGAGCTACATGATTGGTCTTGATTTGGTATCCATCAAAAGAAAGCAAAGCATTGTTTCTGTGCAGTACAGTAAGATTTGAGAAATAAACTTATGTTGTATTTGGCTGGTTTTGTTTCTCTGTATAAGCCCCCAAATTAACAGGGTTTTTCATGGATTTGGGTGTGTTGCTAAAGGTTTGCACAGATCTACTTTTATTGAATTAAATTAACAGCTTATTTTGAGTTTTGAAACATCTTTCCCATTTCATTTCAATCATATTTTTGTCCTCTTCCTAAGTTAAGATGCTTTCTATCTTTTCTATTTTTTTGTCTAGAAAATATACCCAGTTCAGGACAATATCAAACCAACCATTTGATTGTGATGTTGTCCTACCAATATTTATAGTAATTTTATTATAAAGGAGAATGAGTGCTGCCCTGCATTCTGGCTGGATAAGAAAGACCACTTGGTGCTGTTACAATACTTACCCCAAAACCCCATTCATAAAGATTTACTGATCTTTGTCTGCTCTCATTCCAATTTACTATTTAGATGTTCCTTGGGGGAAGAGACTATATACCATCCTTTAGCTCCTATTCATGCTAAAGTTACATCGAGTTAGCCTTAAGCTTCCAGTCTTCTCACATGCATTACAGAAATTAGCTTCTGTTACCTTATTAAAAAAGGGGGTCTCTCTCACTTCTTTGTGCATTATCCTTTTAACTTCAGAAAATGTTTTAACAGAAATAAAAAAAAACAACAGAAACAGTGAGTCATATTTTGCTCCCATTTATACTACTGTGACTTCACAATGACCCTCTGAAGTCAGATTTTGATCCTTTACTTGATGAAGCACTGAGAAATCATTGAACCAGTAATGGAGCCAAGGGCTATCTGGCTGCTTGGAGCCTGGCAAGCAGCCAGAATGTGGCTTTGGATAGTCATGCTCTGGTTTCTGGCAGTGCACGTTGCTGCCATGGGCACCACGTTGGTTCTTTTAGCAGCAGGTGGGGTTTTTTGGTATCAGGATTGCCTGGTGTAAACCCCCCTGCACAGTGCTGCTAAGCAGCAGTGAATGCTTGCATGTACACCAGGTGATGTTTGCAGCACCTCAGACTGCTTTGAGGTGCTGCAAACCACACTTGTATGTTCATGGGGATGCGCCCAATTTGCCTTTTTTGTTCCACAGCTGAGGATGATAATGTGTATTAATATGCTAGAAAGAGGTTTCCTTAGTTGTGAGCCATCCTTTCACACAATGATCTCTATAGGGCCAGCACATGTTTCCTTTTAGGCCTATAGTTACACACCAGACTTTAGCATAGTGTACCCAAGCTTACTTTAAACCAGCTGGGCTAGGTACCAGAAGCAGGGTAAAAGAGCTCCATACTTTCCAGAGGCATAATTGGCCAGGACTATGGCCTGGACAATCCCACTCTTCTCTTCCCCTTGCACCTTTCAGCTTCTTGGCTCTGGTGGGTCTGGCAGCAGGGAGGGGAAAAGTGATGACAGCACTGCAAGAACAGCAGCTGGAATTCACTGCTGCTAAGAGGAGGTGTCACCTTTTTTTTTTTTTTTGCTGCAGATATGTACACACAGCAGCCAAAAATGTTTGGCATAAAAAAATATGAAGTAACATCTCCTCCACCACAGTAGAACCTACATTCCCCAGCATGACTTTAAATGACCCGTTCCTCCACCACTGCTGACACCGTGACCTTCCTGGTAGGAGCTGGAGCCAAGTGGTACAGAGGGGAACAGGAAGGACAGGTGTCCCGCATTCCATTCTGGCACATCCTGCTCTTGGGCAGTGCTCAGGGATCATGCTCTGCTTACCCACCCATCCTTATGCTACTGATACTGCCATAATTAGACTGCTTGGTATCTGGGGTAGCATGGGCATCTCTACAGTACACTGCTGTGTTCAGTAGCGATCAGAGCATTTCCTTTCTCAGCAACTGTCTTGTGTATTCTCTATCTCTTTCATGATGTTTGTGATGAATTAGCTGTGCCCTATAGCATGGTGTGCATGGGATCTCTACTGTTGCAACTGTTTTCCAGATAGGAAGGTGCAAATGCTTTACCTGTTTTCCAATATCTTCTGGCTGATTCCCCACAGCCACTCTTGTGATCCCTGGTAAGTCAATCAGGGTCAAATCTGGAACATCTTGGGAGCTGATTTCCAGGGAAATTAATTCATGGCTAATACCCACTCCTTCACCAGCCATTGCATCCTGGGCTACAAAGGAAGAAAGAGCACAGCAATGAAAGCAGAGTTCAGAAACTTAGAATTTCAGCTGAGCATAATGGATTTGGAGAACATGAGTTGTTCCCATGTTTCCTTTTACAAAAGCTTTTGGAGGCTAAAAGATCTAAAGATCTACCCATGAAAAATGCTATAGAAATTACTGGGCCATGGTTAATGTCCTTCAGAGGATGTGGGCCTTGATAATCACTGAGAAATGTGCTTTCTGAGAAATCTCCATATACCCAAAGAAGATTGATGGAGGCAGATGATACGATGCAATAGTGAGCTACTGAAATATTTAGTTGTTATACAATTGTTTCCACATTCAACTACGTCTGCAACAATCAAAGGCAGAACCAAGAACAGCATGTAGGAATATCAATTCCCAGGGTTTTACGTTACCTATTAGATCACATTGTCCAAGCTGAACAGGTCAAAGAAATGCATACATACATAACTGGTTTGTTTCTTCTGCCTAACCATATTGTCAGATGATAATGCGAGGATAGTGTTCTATGATATCAAAGTAAATCATGTCTCATAAGAAACTTTTTTTCGCCATGATTTGCTTATTTGACCTGGATGTCATTTACTTGATTACTTTACCACATTTTTAATTAGTTCTTGAAAACCTCAAAGCATGTACAAATAAACCAGAACTGGATAAAGTAATGACCATTAACAATGTATGCAATTATAAAAGCTAAGCCAGTAGGGACAATCAAGCCGTAAGCTTCTGGGGACAAACAGATTATCAGTAGGGCAGGAGAGATGTTTTCCTCGTCCTCCTAGCAACCCATGGGGCTTCAAGGGGAAGCTGGAGAGATCTCTGAGCAATGTTGAGACCAATGGGGACCAACCTTTTTGGCTGGCCTGCCACAAATTAGCCCTGCACCCTTCCTGAATGCCACTCCAGTCCAATGCCACACCCTTACCTGATCTGCTGCTCATCTTTTTGCTCCCTGTTCTGTGCTTCCTGACCAAACTGCTTCTTTGCTTTCTTCTCCCTGTCCTATGTGCCACTGTGTTGCCTGTCCACTTCCTCAATCTTCAGACAGAGGCTTCCCATGCAACCTGTGGCACCCATGATGCAGGTTGACTCCCCATGGCTTAACAGTTACAGTACTTTGCTGTGAAACAGGATACCCTGAGTCAGAGGGCCTGGTACTCAGGTCTCCTGCTCCCTGAGCAAGTGGCTGTAGTGACTAGCTTAGTGGGCTGCAAGGTGGGAGGGCTCCCCTCCTCCAGTCTATTCTGACAGGTACACGTACAAAGTAATCCCTATCTGTTATAAGTGGAAACAGAATCCAAATGGTGCAGAAATGTCAAAAATTGCCACCACACAGTGGCAAGAGTCACTTGGGTGCATAAATATTAAACAGTCTGTAGTATCTTCTATAAGCCAAGCCTCTCATGGAGGCTAAGGGCTCCTTCCATTTCATTATACAAATGGCTTTTACCTTTTCCTGCTTCAGGGAATTCATGAGACTATCCCCAATTTTTCCTCAGACAGAGTTTCTGGGTGCTTCTAATTCTCCCACCAGGCCCCTCATGCCATTGCCTCGTGATGTATGTCCATCTTCACCATTACTCCTTTTTGGGATGCTATGTCATTTATTTTTGCACCATGACAGCATGTTAAGTTCAATGGCCAGGTATAGACATTGCACTTTTATGAGTATAGAAGTAACTGGAAACCGGTCTATGCCCCTAACAGAACAGAAGTCCGGTGCACACAGACTGGTTAAAAATGGTGGGACCCAGTTTAAGATTTGTGTTCCCCACCCCCTCCCAACCAGGGTGAATGCATGTTCTGTTCACTACTGATCTACACTATGCTACTTACAGAAAACCACATTTTGAATGTCTGTACCTAGCCTATAGGGAGGGCAAGTAGGGTTACTCAGAAGCTATTAAGATGTGTTTGAAATATAGACAGACACATGCAGAACTGTTAGAAAATTTGGCATGTTAAAATAATAGCTGGGACTCCATGTGTCCTGCATTTATCCCTTTCAGTTTTTCTTACTTAGTTAAAAAACATGAAGGTCCTGAACTCTCCCTGAAATTTTGGAATTGATCAGATGAGGCATTAAACCATTACTGCATTACAGCCAAACCTCCAGAGAAATGCCATCCAGGTGAGTGCCTACTGTAAGCAGATATGACAAACCCTGATGGAACTTCCCTGAGACCAAGAATGGCAAATATGTCACTTTTATTACTCCATGTTACTATTTCTTATCAATGTAGATGATATATAACATACACTACAATACAGTATTATTTTTCTGCTTTTATTATTTGGCCTCATGTTCTTGGCATTCTTAATGGTTATTATCTGTGTGTAGATTTGGGAAATATTGTTCTGCATATTGAAAGAAGAAAATGATGAAAAGGTGAGAATCTTATAAAAGTCCTGTGGCGTTGTGTGGGGAATTGTTTTTATCATTTACAGGCAACCCCTGCTTAATACTCTTAATTGGTTCCTGAAAAACGGAGCATTAAGTGAAATGAGCGTTAAGTGAAACCAAAAGTATTTGATGACACAAAATGGCAACTGGGAGCATTATAATGAAACTTGCTGAGTGCTACGTGAAATCAGGTATCAATTTAAAATGAGCGTTATAGCGAAATAGCATTAAGCAGGGGTTGCCTGTACTTTTTTATCTGTTTTTCTGGCTTTTTTATTGTAAGCTGCCTTGAGGCTATTTTTGAGAGGGCAATATAGGAATAAAATAAATAAATACAATGGAATCAGAATGGAATAAACTGAACTTACCTTTTCTTATTTCTTTCTCCACCTGTGCAGGATTCTGGAGTATCTCATCTATATCCCGGTAACTAATTTTCCCTTTCCACCCCTGTTCAGGTGTTGTCTTTTTAAGTTTGAGTTCCAAAGGACATCTGGTAACAATGCCTATAACGATTTACAAATTGAGTTAGTCAAATCATTCTTGTTGCTTTTAAGATTTAGAGTTTGCCACAAAATATAATCCCTCTCCAAATACACACAATGCCTAAAGCTTCACAAGTGTTCAAAGTTTGCTTCCTGTGTAACATATGAAATCATATTCTAAACAGTTGCTTTGGCCAGTATAAGTCTCTCAGCAACAACAGTAGCAGCTTTTAAGTTGATTTCACTCCATAAAATCACTTTTGCTTTAACCCTGTGTGCTGCAGTGGCACATGCCTCCCCTCTCCCCAATAACAGTTCAACTTAAGATATGCCAGACCATGGTGAAAACATGAAGAGGGAAAAGTGCAATGGACTTTCTAATTAATTGGTCCAAATTTCAAATCCTCCTCCAGTTGTGATGAAAAAAACCCCTTTTAGTTACAGCCTATGGAAAACTGAATTCAAAGCCATGTCTTCAGACATGTTTGCATAAATGGGAGATATTTAAAAAGCAGATGTTATCAGAAAATGTTTCTGTGTGAGAGACATTACTTTTCACCAAATAGGAGCCAGTCTAAGATTGTGGTGGTTTCTGCAGTTCTTCTAGGAATGTCATTAATACTTTTGCATGTGTAGGTGGGCAGCCTTGTTGGAAGCACTCTGGTTTAAAATCACTGCTGAGCTACAGTATCAGACCCTTTTTATAAACTTCAGGGATCTAAATGAATAATTTTCTCGAACTTAGCACGTTTTTCCCTAAAAAATATTTACTGATGCATGCAAATCTAAGATAATGATAAAACAAAAACTGGATGTGATGTGAAAACATGACAAAACTTAACATCTATTACTGATGCAGACATTTTTGTGTTAGCAGTGAATAAGCAGATAGTATTATGTTATGCAGAGAGGGAAGACTGGTATCTGTATGAGCTACAAACACTCTCCTTTACCACAGAGAGCAACTTTATATGTTTCTCATCTGACTGAGAAGAAGTGACTTTAAGTGACAACCGGAGTGTGTGATCGCAAGTCAAACTAGTCATAAACTTTCTGATGGCAAAGCTTTTTTGGGGGATACCTTGAGTTATGAATCTAAAATTCACTTCCAGTTTTCCAAATCTCAGCTCTTTATCTGACAAAGGCCTGACTGCAACCTCTGCAAACTTGAGAGATTTCAGAGATGAAAAACCATAACCATAGGCAGAGGAAGAAAATATGATTGGGGGGGGGGGGGGGCTGAGCATGCACACACTCCAGCAGGTAAGTCTGTTGTGGGGAAGGGGTGGGGGGTCCAATCGAGGCTGCCATGGTGAGGGAAGGGAGTGGGGTAGAGACAGGGGCAGGGGGGAATGGAGCCCCGGGGCCAAGGCAGATTGTGGGATGCTCTGGGCCCAGGCACCTTGTCCAGGGGTGCGGGCTCACCCTGCTCCCTTGCCTGAGGCAGGCACAGGGGGCATGTGCCCCCTGATCTGTGTGTGGCACAGAGGCAGCTGCTGCTGCTGAGAATTGGGCTCTGCCCCATGCACAGATCGGGGGGGCATGTACCCCCTGTGCCTGCCCCAGGGGTGGCGGACACTGCCCCCACCCCGTGCTCCTGGATGAGCTGCCCAGACTTGGAGCATCCCACACCCTGCACCAGGGCCCTATTCACCCTCCCCCCCTGGGGCCTCGATCTACACCCCCATAGTCCTTCCCTCCCCTCCCCTGCGTCCCTTCCCATCCACACATTTATCTGCTGGATGTGGGATGGTCCAGACTGGGTTGAGTTCCCAGCTGCCTGCAAGTTCCGGCTGCTCGTCTATGTATGCACTCCTCCCCCTGCCACTGCAGCCGCCCAGAGCCCATGACTAGGCTACCTACATTTGTGGGGGCTAAGCCCCACCCAGCCTTCCACCACCTATGAGCATAAAAGTAAATACTTACCACTGCCTCTAGGAAGAGAGACACCAGACAGTGCTTCTAGGACTGAGCTTTTTCCAGAGCTCTGGTCTCCAATTACAGCAATTGCTGGCAAAGGGAGATCTTTTTCTACTCCGAGTGCTCTCAGAGAGTCAATGAGATCAATGCAGGGACGGACCTTCTCCTCATACTGGCTATACAAGCTGTTTGCTGCTTTCTGATAGAATAGCATGACATTTAATGAGAGCTCACTTCATAAGAGCATAGAGAAAGTTAAATGTTTCCACACAATAACTCATATTGGCATATAAATAAGTCAAATACATCAACAACAATCTATACTTCATAACATGCTTTAGCTTTGTAATGTTCAAGCTTTCGGAAATATGTTTTACATTATAAAACACAATAAATGCAGCAAATATTAGTTTACTTGCACCAGTGACTGAGGTACACATTATAAGTTGCAGAAAAGCAGGAACACCACACTTATCAATGCACTCTGTCCACTTACTTTGGTAAATGCACTTTTATTTTGCTTTTAATATTTATAAAGCTAATAACCTCCTAGTACATGTACTGCAATATATGTAGTGAAAATAATGCAGGTTTTAGTAATAAAAATTTGGGGAGACTCCCCACGGATGTTTCTGTACGAGTAATTTATGTAACACTGTTTCAGGTATTGTGTGCAAAGGGTAATAACAAATGAGGAATCAATTTTTAATAAACTAAAACTGGCTCCTTAGAAACTATTTAGCATTTCAACTACTGCTTAGGATTCCCAGCTATGTGCAGACAGTCTGACATCTTGTTGTCTTTTCCAAATTTTCTCTCCTTCATCCTGTAATCTTCCCTTCAGGATTCAAGCAGGCTCCTGCATTTAGGGCATCCAAGCCATTTTGATAAAACTAAATATTTGATGACTTATCTGGTGAGGTAGCTTCATATCTTAACCTAAAATATGGCATGAAGGTGGGAAATAAACTAAATGTTTAATCAATACCCTCAGTTAAAAACACTCCATCAGTAAATAAATATTGCTAGGGATCTAATCAAGTCACAATTTTGTGGATTTCAAGGAAACTATGAAATCAGGTGATCTCTGTGAAATCCATGGAAAAACCCCCCAAACTTACTAAACATTAAATGTAAGCTGTCCTCCCGGCCACATAGCCTGGCACTAACAGGACTGCCGACACGAAAGTGAGTAGGCAAGATGGCTGCCACCCCTGTCCCTTGCTGCGGATTGGCTGAGGGCTGCCTATCATGTGGCCCTGCCCCTCTCCACCAATCAGTGATCAGCGGTGAAGCTCTATGATGGACAACCCTCTCCAATCCCTCAGCAGTGTGGAGTGGGAGGACCCCCAGCCAGGATAAGCCTGTAAAAATGGCAGCCGACCCTGTGATCTGCCCACAAAATCAGCTGGCCACTGCCTCAAATTCAGTAGACCCCTTATTGTTGCAAACCTCAATGACAGTCTGTTTATCAAAGGCAGTACTTATCAATGAAAGACATATATTGAACCCTTTGATCATCTTAATTATAAATATTATAATCTAATAAGCAAATACTATTTAACTATGTACTTGTTCCCAAGAGTTTTATTAATTTTGCAGTAGACTTTTCCTATGTTTTGGTTTAAAAAAAAAAAAGGAAATATTCACAAAAGGTTTTTTTTATTTCTACCACTTTCTGTTGCAGTGATTCTTGGCCTTTTTAGACTCAAGCCCCTTGGAAAATATCTGCTTTTAGCTTTCACTCGTTTTTGGATTACCAAAAAAATAATTGAGCAATTCTATTGCAAAGTACTCAAAAACTATAGATTCCTATTTGAAATCTCTGCGTTTATCATGTGTAGGTGCTAGCATACCTAACGGTGCCATGGCACCCTGGTTGAGAATTGCTATTTTACTTAATACACTGAAACCTTATGTAAAAACTCAGTCATGAGATTTCTGTTTCACGTTTCCTAATGCGAATACTCAATGGCATAAATACTATAGGGCAAAGCTGCAGTCAGGCTGTGGTCCTCCTGCTTTTTCAGTTCCCATGTTTTACATCTACAAATGAAATATAGGCGCAGTCACTCCATTCCTGTGAATAGGAATGCTTATGCTTAGATTGATGCAGATACAGAGTACAAGAGAAGTCAACAGAATTTACTCACCCAGGACAAGCATTTAAAGATTTTGTGCTGATTTCCCTACTACAATCAGAACAGAAGAGAACTGATCTGTGCCTAAAAATACTTTCTTCAAAAATGATACTGGCTATGAGTAGTGTAACAATGGGGTGTGAGTGGGACAGTCTCATACTCTGGGGTGCTAGAATGGAGCCAGGGGGTGTCTCACCCTCTTGTCCTCAATCCCCGTTCTCCACCTGCCTTCCTTGCAGTGTCTTGAGTGCCAGCAGTGGGGAAGACAGAGCAGAGACAGTGGTACAGTAGTAGCAGTCAATGGTTTGCTGCTGCTGGGAGATGTCACCTCATGTTTTTGCTGCTGAAAACTGGCATTTAAATGTTCACTGACATGAGTGTTGGGGGCAAGAAAATAAAGTGACATCTCTCTTAGCAGTTGCTCCTATGCCACTGTCACTGCTCTGCCCTTCTTGCCATCAGATCTACTGCAAGGAAGGTACAGGATGGAGAGGGGGAGACAAGGGGCTGCCCTTGGTGCAGTACTGGCCTGTTATACCCCTGCTGGCTCCCAAAAATTTGACCTTAAACTATAGCCTCTGAAGACAAAGTTCAAAGACCATGTCAGTTCACCCTCAAGCACTAGGAATCTGACTTGCCTTGTTCTGTTCTTCATGGTAAGGATACATTACCTCCTGTTGCTTTTCCGCTTCTTGATGATTTTTATCAAGTTCCAGCTGCCACACTTTATCTGTAAGATACTGAATGTTTTCATCTCTCCCTGAGACTAGCGAGGTTGCTGACAGAGGCAGTGAGTTTGCTTGGTTTGCATGTGTAAAAGGCACAGTTGGCAGTGTTGAAACTGGCACTGGAACACCTTTATTTGGCTGTGTTGAAAATTCTGTAAATACCAGGTTTGGTGGGATGGGCCCAAAAGAGAATCCAGAGGATGGCTGCATAATTGGCTGGGAACGATTGGACACTCCCTGCTTTCTTCTTCTTTGCTTGTCAGTTGAACGTATACGGCAGCTGCAGGACTTTTGCATAAAATTTTCACAAAATAGTAATTGACAACAACAATTCTTCTGCGCTGCTCCTGAAATCATAAATAAATTTGACTGGATTCAGCTTGCAATAGTAACAACAATGGTGAAAGGCTCCCCACTCTTGTTATTTAATCAGGCCACTCCACATCTGGTAGAAACTGTCACGGATCTTTTCAGACCCATGGTCTGTACCAATTTACATTAATCGAGGTACTGGCCCTTTATTTTTGCTGCACTTGTTTGCCAAGTTGTTTAAACAACACGAAATAACAGCAATTGTGTTTTAAAGGGGATTTTGAAATATTTTCCTTTCCCCCCCAAATTTTCTACAGTGTGCCATTTTTTTTTAATAGAAAACTAGAAACCAAAGGCATATTTACACGTGTTTTGGGATGCAGCACTGGTTGCTTTAATGAGCTGCGCTAATTAAAAGCACCCGTGTGTCATGTGCATCAGCATCCCTGCATGTCCCCAGGCTGAAAAAATGGCAGCGGGGAGCTTTGAACTAAAGCTCATTGAATGTGTTTTATTTCAAAGCACCCCGCCACCGTTTTTTTCAGCACAGGGACCCATGGGGACACTGATACATGCGATGCGGAAGGGTGCTGGAGCACATCAATTTCTGTGATCCAGCAAACTCGATTAACTGAGTCTGCTCCAACACACTGGATTTCCAGCACATTGGAGCAGGCTCCCCACACAGCTATAGGAGTCCCAAAATTTTGTTTTCAAAAGGCATTTTCAGTAATCCCAAAACATTTTGGAGTAATTCAGCATGGTCTTCCCTTTCCTGCCTCTGGAAACGGGGCAAATGAAAGGCAGGGCAGGTGGGCACCTTAAAGCCAGCATCTATTGATGTGCAGGGATCCTGGCTTTCTCAAGATAAAAAAAAAAAAAAATCCCCAATTTTCAGATTTAAAAAGTAACCCAAAATCTGCATTTTTTCATGAAACACCACTATTTATATAAATCTCTCTCTCTCTCTCTCTCTCTCTCTATATATATATATATATATTAGTGGTGTTTCATTTTAACCATGGAAAAATGTGAATTTTGGGTTACTTTTTTAAATCTGAAAACTGGGGATTTGTTTTAATCAGAGAAAACTAGGATCTTTGCTAATGTGCCACCCTGCCCTGCCTTCTACCTGACTTCTGACTAACATGGCTAACTGCCTCCTTTACTACAGTGGAGAGGTGGAGTCATCATATTTACGGTCAAATCTCCCATAAACATACATTCATCACCCACTACCAACCAGGTCCTTCTTTTGCCCATGCAAAAGATATAACCTTCTTCCACATCTTATTATTTTTAGTGTTTGATCTTTCATGTCCCACTCTTCCCTCAGTTTGGTAGAAAAAGCATCATTATCATATCAGCATTAAGAGAAGCATTGTCTTTGAATAATATCTTGTATGAGAACCCGGGGAAGATGAGCTTAGATGGTACAGTGAGGAAAGTCATGACTTTGAAACATGGTAATGAAAGGGCTATTTCTTAACACGACATTCGCTTGCATGCAACACGTTCCCCCAAACAGGACATGCATCTTGATTTTGGAAGGCAGCATGTAGGACACAAAAGGTTTCGAGTCATGGACTAGATCTGGCTTTTTCATGGAGAGGCAAAATGATTGTCACTTCTCTTTCAAGCAACAAGCAGCATGGGCAGAGTCTACCCTTTGACATACTGATAGCAGTTTTTTAGCTGCTCAGCAAAAAGCTACTTTAATTCAGTAGGGGATGTGAAAGAGTTAACACTGAACTCCACCACTGCTGCTTGCTAACCCAGAGAAGGGGCCAACAGCTGCAGCACAGCCTCTCCATGCTAGTGAAGGAAATCAGCTAAGCATTCATAGATTTCAGACTTTAGGGCAGGAAGGGACCTTGAGATAACTGGGTCCAGCCCCCCTGCCCAAGGGGCAGGAAGTCAGTTGGGGTCAGATCATGCCAGCAAGATAAGCATCCAAGCATTTCTTAAAGGTACCCAGAATAGGTGCTTGCACCACACATTACATAGTACCCACTGATTTCAGTGCCTGTAAATAATGTTGTGCATCAACACCTCTTTTCACGACCCTCAATAGAAGCCTTGCCACTGTTCTCTACCTATCTTTCTAAGAAAAGTAGCACTGGGTACAAAATAAGAGCTTTATGGAGAGGCCTAATGTTTATCCACTTCAGAATGGGAGGGGAAGCTGCTGCTGCTCAGGCGTGGATATTCATGGTTATGATGTAACCCGGGGTAGACAACGTCTTTTGGCTGGAGTGCAGAAACCCTCCACAATACCTACCTTGGAAGGTGCCGGAGTGCTGGCATGCCAGAAAAACAAAATGAGGGCAGGGGGTACATGGCAGGATGCCCTGCTTGTGCCCCTTACCTCCCACCCAAAGCCCTTGCTCCCCACCCTGGGCTCTGTGACTATCAGCAGCTACCCAGAACCTGGGCCAGCTGCAAACATCTGCCTCTCCGCCCCAGCCCTGGGCTCTGGGGAGACAGTACATACCACCAATGCTCCCCACTGTGCTGCCCTCACTGCTTCTGCAGAGCAGCATTGACACCCGGCACAGCAGGGGGCGCAGAAAGCTGCCTGCTCCCAGCTGCCGTCACACTTCCCCTGTGTGCATGGGAGCAGCGTGGGCAGCAGTGCAGGGTTGTGCCCCTCGCTGCTGCCCCTGCCTGCAGGGGAAGCGTGGCAGAACAGCGGGAAGCTCAGAGCAGGCAGCTTTTTGCGCCCCCCGCTGTGCCCTGCCTCACCAGGTTCCAATGCTGCTCTACAGAAGCAGTGAGGGCAGCACAGCGGGGAGCACTGTCAGGGCCCAGGGGCAGCAGCTGTTTGCAGCCTCCCGGCTGCCGG